GGTAAGGAAAGTAGGCCCCCACCCCACTTAAAATACGTCTTTAGAGCTATTTCTAATTTGTGCTTTGTGTAGATGTGGGTTGGGAAGATTGCCTACTGTTTCACTTTTAAAAATTTTTTACAAATTTATTCAAGTTTTCTATTTTCACATTAAATGTGAAAATTTATAAACTTAAAGTGCTTTATCTATCTTCAAAGATATTGGCAGAAGACATAGTATTATGCTTTTTAAAATCTATTTTTAATTAGAATTACATGTATCTTTTAAATATGTACTGCCTAATATTATGTCTCTACCTTTCATTCCTATTCATGTTCGTTTACACCGTCTCTCACCAGAGATGTCTATTTTATGAACTTAAAAACTTGTTTTCTTGATGGTCTTCATTCTTCTTTTCTGTTTCATGAATGTCTGCACTTATTTTTATCATCTTTCTTTCCTTTTTTGGGAATGAACTATTCTTTAGTTCATTTTATTAACTTCATGATTCGAACACTTAACTCTTAAATCTTCGACCTTTGTTTCCGCTCTCCAATATATGCAACTTACCTTTAAAACAAATTGAGCAGCATTTTACACATTTTGCTATTATTGTTTAGAATCCACATTTTTTAAACTTCCATTACAATTTTTTTTCCTTTAACTTGTGAAGTACTTACAAGTGTGCTTTTAAATGTCCAAATATATAATGGGTGTAAGGGGGATTGGAGAGTTGTTATCTTTGTGAGATACCTAATTTAATTTCTTTTTGGGCAGAGAGATGAAGTTTCATACGAGGATACTTGAAAAAGTTCATGGAAAAGTAAATTAAAAGATAATATAAATCTTTCCAGGAATTTTTTGAAGTACTAGTATCAGTATTTGTTGGGACTTCTTGGTCACTTGTATTCTTTTTTTTTCTTATTGTCTGTCTGGCTAGGCTAAGGCCTGGAATCCTCACAGCGCCAATTGTCTAGCTCATAATCCTGTTTGTGATGCCAATTGTAAAGCTACTCAGCCATGCTAGTTGTTGGGCTCCTTTACCTGCCGGTAATCCTGCTAACTGGGCCGATTGTTGAACTAAGGCTGGGTCTGGAGCTCCCAGACCCCTCAAGCCACTCACAGACTGGATCACAAACCCTTCGTATGCCAGGCTGGGTCACCAGACCCCTTCACGCAGGTCTGTGAGCTGGATAAACAGCCAAAAAGTCCTTGGAGCCATAGGTTGGAAAGCATGGCTGTGTGCAGCAGGTGCCCAAGTCCAAAGCCCGCTTACCTGCTTCACTCAAACTCCCTCTCTACTCTCTCTCTCTCCGAAGAACACAAGAATAGCAACAAAACTAAAAAGATACATTGGCGCACATGCACACTAACGACGTGTGCAGCAGGTGCCCAAGTCCAAAGCCCGCTTACCTGCTTCACTCAAACTCCCTCTCTACCCTCTCTCTCTCCGAAGAACACAAGAATAGCAACAAAACTAAAAAGATACATTGGCGCACATGCACACTAACGACACACACACACACACAAATTTGCTTACAAAGGATGCTGAACCAAACCCAACTGGATGTGAGGCGAGGGCCCTGACCAAACTATTCTATTTTCTCAACATTGTCTCTTGAGTGCTGAAAAAAAATTGCTCTCTATAACTATTCAGGACAGTGTCCCATGTTAAATTTATTGGTTCAAGATTAGTTATTGAGTTATTAAAGTTCTTTGTATTCTTAAGATAGTATTTTTGGTCTGATTGACTAGTTTTTGGTAATATATGTTAAGACTTCCGCCTACCTTTGTGTAATGTCAATTTCTTTTCTTAATTTTTTCAATTTTACATTTTAAGGTTATGCTATTTAAATAGATTCAGGTTCAAGGTTATTGTATAATCCCAGGGAATTATTCCTTACATACTTAAGGAATGATCTTTCTCAGCCCCACTAATATTTTTTTACCTCTGTTTATGTTGTTTGATGTTGATATTGTGGTACTGCTTTTTTTGTTGTTTTGAATTTCTAGTTAGTATTTTTTAGTTTATCTCCTAATTTTTATTTTTATTTAAAAATTACAGGTAATTTAAATTTTACGTCTATCTGTTTAAAGTATATCTCTATCCTATTTTGATTTGTCATTTTTACACTATATGGTAGATATTTTTTCAAGTCTGTATGTTAATTATTCAAAAATTCTTTGTCATGTCCACTGAATATTTTTTGAAATTTCTAAAAACTAAGTATTTATTTCTAGAAGTTCCGTCTGGTTCTGTTGAAATCTGACTATTCTTTTATCACCGTGTCCTGGATTATTTAAATTTTTAAAAATTCTTTTGTCTTTTTTTAAAAGCATATCTCTTTTAAGCATTTTAAGCATGTAATACTTTTTTGTTACTTTAAAAATCTAATGAAAATCCAATTACATTTATTGTTATTGTGTTGGACTTTATTTTATTTTTATTTTTTTCTCTCTTTATGCTTTCCATTTGATTGATTAGGTTTCTTTGTCCATCCATTTGTTTGGAAGTTATAATTATTCTTCTTTTCCTCCACTGGCTACCTATAGAGTTTTTGAAAACAAAACAGTAGTCCCTATCTCTCTTATTTCCAGACAATGCCAGGGTGTTATATTGCTCTCATTTCAATTACATCTTCCATACTGCATTTTGCATGCAGTTAATGACAAGTATTTTGTTTCCACTTTGAGCCCCTGTTAGTCATTAGTATTATTTTTACAGTTAATGTTTTTTCGAAGTTACTCATGTTTTTTAGTTTATCATTTCTTCTGCAATCCTATCATTCCTTCATTGATACAATTTATTTGTTGAGAACAGCCACTACTGGTTATTTCAGCAAGATTCTCTAAGGGAGAGAGTTTCAATTTTGGACACTGAAAATGTTCTTAGATCATTGTCATCATTTTCACTTTTGAGAGACATAGTTATGAATGAAATTCTAAATTGACACTTATTTTCTCTTGGCCCTTCGAAGATATTCCACTGTCTTCTGTTATTTATTGATAGGGTTTCTATCCATCTTATTGCCATCTCTCTGGAGATCTATCTTTTGTTAGAAATGGTTTTAAAATATTCTCTATTTTCTCTTGGCCCTTCGAAGATATTCCACTGTCTTCTGTTATTTATTGATAGGGTTTCTGTCCATCTTATTGCCATCTCTCTGGAGATCTATCTTTTGTTAGAAATGGTTTTAAAATATTCTCTTTATTTTTTTAATTTGTGACCAGTAAGGGGGTTGTAACCCTTGGCTTGGTGTCACCTGCACTGTGCTCAGCCAGTGAGTGCACCAGCCATTTCTATATAGGATCTGAACCCGCAGCAGTGGCGCTCCCAGTGCCGCTGAGCTCCCAGCACCGCACTCTCCTGAGTGAGTCACGGGGTCGGCCCATTCTCTTTATTTTTGATGTTTGGAGATTTCACACACCAGATGTAGGAATGGTTATTTATCTTTTGCACAGTTTGGTGTGTTGCTTTATCTGAAAATGCTTATCATTATTTGATTCTAAAAAAAATTTGTCTGTGAGCTATTCAAATATTTCCTCTCTGCCATCCTCTGTTTTGTTTTTTTTTTTTTTTTTCCATTCTGAAATTCCTACAGATATGTATTCTGGCTGCTTATTACATTCTGTGTATTTCTTCCCTATCCTATTTTGACTTGTCATTCTTATAATGCATTCTAGATTTTTTTTTAAGTCTGTATCTTAATTATTCAAAAATTTGTTTCTCTGCTGTGGCCACTGAATATTTTCTGAAATTTCTAAAAACTAAATTTTTATTTCTAGAATTTCTGTCTGGTTCTGTTTGAAATCTCTATGAAAACTATTCTTTTATCATAGTATCCTGATGTTTTATAATTTTTTAATTTTTTATTTTGTCGTTAGTTATTTAAAACAAGGGTAAGCAAATGTTTTTTGTCAAAGGCCAGAGAGAAACACTGTAGGTTTTGCGGGCCATGTGATTTCTGTCACAACTCTTCAACTCTGCATCGTAATGCAAAAGCAGCCCTAGATAACAAACATGTAAACATTTGGGCATTACTGTGTTCCAGTAAGACATTATTTATCAAAACAGGCTTGGGACCAGATAAAGCTCCTGGGCCATAATTTTCTGGACCCTGATTTAAAACATACTCTTTGTAATGCAAAAGCAGCCCTAGATAACAAACATGTAAACATTTGGGCATTACTGTGTTCCAGTAAAACATTATTTATCAAAACAGGCTTGGGACCAGATAAAGCTCCTGGGCCATAATTTTCTGGACCCTGATTTAAAACATACTCTTTGTAAGCACATTCAAGTGATTCTCAGCTGTAGTAACTGAGAATGGTAATTCCTGTTTGAAGCAACAGCTGACTGTCCCTCATTATGTATTATTTTCTTGTGTGTCATGATTTTGAGTTGTGAGCTCTACATACAGCTTTCTGTCGGAGGCCTTGAGTTCTGGAATTATCCTTCAAAGCATATTTGATATATCAGTCTTTGCAGCTCATATTTTTATAAAGAATTGCTTTTAAAATTATCACCCTCAAATACCATGAGTAAGAATCTTCCAAAATAATCCAGTGCTTAGTGCAGTGACTGACACATGAGGAATACACAGCTATTATTTCTATAATTATTGCTGTTAAAATTAATAGCACTGTTATTGTTATTATTAATCCTAGGTCTTATAGAACTTACATAAATTTTAGTTGTTTATGTTTCCAAAATTTTTGAAAATTCTGATTAACTGGAAGTATATAATTAAAATGATTCTTTATTGGGACTTGGTGGTGCTAGTTTGACTTAAAGGTATGGAAGGGTATTGAGTAAGGTATATACTATGAAAATTAAAGATAACTAAGGGTAGACAGAAGCATAATGAAAGAAGCTTTGGAAATTTCTCTTTTAAAAATGATTTCAGAAGGGATAGAAATATACAAATTGAATATGTGTGTTCAATATGTACATATACTTGTGTGTATGTGCATTTTTCTCAATCTGTAGTGAATTTATGCCTCTTGCTTGTTCATCACAGGACACTTGAAATGGACCAAAGCTGAGGACATTGACATAGAAACCCCGGGATCTATTCTTGTCAACACTAATTTGAGGGCACTAATAAATAAACATACATTTGCTTCCTTACCTCAGCATTTTCAACAATACCTCCTGCTTTTGCTTCCAGAAGTGGATAGGCAGGTAAGTAGAAGTTTTAGACATTTGATATCAGTTTCTAGTTATTATGAAGTGGTAGATCTGTTATAGAAGATGACTGATACATGGATATAATAAATTTATATTACATATGTATATGTATATATTTATACACACACTCACACACACACACACACACACGTATGTACACACATTCATTTATTGCTATCATTGGTTTAATCTACCAAAACAGAATCATTTTTATTCTCAATAGTAAGCCAGTTCAAATTTTAAAATACAGTACATTGTGGTAGAGTGAAAACTACAGACCTACGTACACAGGAAAGGGAAAACAAAGAAATCCACTGTCAAATCAATCTTTGAAGTAGCTGCTCCTTTGCCTGGAGGGAATATTGAAATGCATCAATAAAAAGTCAGGGTTTCTAAAAAATTATGTAAATGTTTTTATTCTCAATTCTTTCCAAAAGGCATTTAAAATTTATGTTTGCAATTGCTCTCTGAGAGTCTATCATCATGAATATGATTACCTATAAATAATCACCTTTTATCTTTTTTTTTAGTATAACTGGAAGCACTATAGTATATTTTTTTATTTTTGAAAAGCTTCTGAAATAAGGAAATACAAATACAGACCCATAATAGCAGGCATCAATCATCTTCTAAAGCTGTTTACTTAGAAAAGGAAAAATATTTAATCACATAAACTTTTATTAAATTTCATAAAAAAAGTATTCAGCGGTTTCTAGGAAACATATTTTTTGATTCTAATTTTAGTAAATTCTGACACTATATCATTTCCAATTGATGGACTTAATGCATGTGTATTATGAATTTGTATCTTGAAATGATAGGTACATCTATGAATTGAAATGGGCAAGATTGATTCAATATTCCTATCTTACTTTGAATAGGTTTTCTTAGCTTTTCATTTGATTCTGTTTTCTTCTAACTTACCCATCTCTTTTTATACATATTAAAATGTGATAAGCAACAGTGTGCTACAATTCCTATGTATCTCTTTGGTGGTGATTATTGTTTATATTTAGAAAAAGATTATTTTGATTTTAGGTACATTTTCATTTGGGAGGTTTTCATTCAACAAATTTTTTCTTAATATTTACTATGAATATAATATGTTTTAGGTACTTTGAGTAATAGACAGTAAAAGTTTATTAAATTATTATTAAATGAATGATTAAATGCATTCCATTTGATGCATGAACTATATTTATAAATAACCAAAATATGAGGTAGAAATAGGTACTCCTAAGTAAAAATCACGAAGTATATTGAGCTTTAATATGCAGAAAGGAAAAATCAGAGACAAATTTAAGATCTTCGAATTAGGCCTTGAGATATAGGTAGAATTTGAATAAAATAGATGGAAAAGTACCAAGTGAGAGGTCCAAAGATGCAAAATTGAAAGCTAATTTGGTGGGAGTCTGGATTGTAGAAAGAACAGTGTAAATAATGCTGGTAAGTTAGACTGAGAGTAGATTTTGGAAGATTCCTTGAGTATGAAGCTAAAGTGTCTGAACAGAGCTCTCACTCTATCTATAATACAGAGCCATTGAGGTCTTTTGAGCAGAGCTATACTGTAATAAGACGATTGCTTTTTAAGGAGATTATTCTGGCAGTACTGAAAGGGAATGTTAGGGATGAGAAACATGAAAGTGGAAAGAATAGTTAGAAAGCAATTTTAGTTGTTCCCAAAAGGCATAAGAAGGGCTTGAATTTGGGGGATAGCACTGAAATGAAAGAGATGGAGGAAAATGGAGTCGTCATTGTAGTTGTCATGATCCTCCTCCTCCTCCTCCACCAGTGGTTGCAATTTTACACTTTGTCAAATAATGCTTGAACAAGGTACAGAGAGGAACCACTGATGACTGTCTAGTTACAAGTTTGTTTGACTGAGAATAGAGTTCAGGAGCTGAAAACTTTTTTTGTTGAGGGGGGGACTGATTTCACTATTTTTTATTCACTATTTTTTTTTTACTTTAACATATGTGTGGTTTATCTTGCTTACAGTTCTGTCTCCAGCTTGTGGAATAAGGTTTGGCATATACAAGATACTTAGTAAATATTTCTGGAGTGACAAAATGACAAATCGTCCTAGATTTAAGCAAATATTCAGTAACCCAGGAGGCCAGAGTCTAAGCCCCATATTTTATTCAACCTGTAGCAGTTTCTATTACTCAGTTGTTTTTCTAGTCAGTGTGAAAAAAGGAGAAGGCAGAATACCTGTCCTCAAACGACGTTTAGTTCATTGGGAAATTATTTGTTTATTCAAGAAATATTTATTGAACATGTATTGTGTGGTATGTGCTTTGGTGAATACAGAGGATACAAGAATGAATCTTATGAGGGAGTTATAGTCAGAGGAAAACGATAACCTCATGCTGAAATACAATACACTTTGCTCACTACTAGGGAAGGAATTTAATAACTGGATAGGTCTACACCAGATTTAGTATAAGACCAGGCAAAGTCACATAAATATAAAGCTAGAGGTATAAAGAAATTCCTCTGAAAGCATAGAGGAGTAAGATAGTTCATCTGAATTTGGTATTAGGGAAGATTTTTATGGTGGATAGGATACTTGAGTTGAACCTTGAAAGACTAATAAGTGTTCCTTAAGTAAAACTAAAGGAAGGTGAATTTTACAGAGTCATCTACAAATACTTGTTGGTTGTGTGTTCTAAAGATTCAGTAGTTCCATATCACTGGAACAACCTACAGGAGGAAAATGGTGAAATACTTTGCTGAAGAGGAATACAGTCTACAAATTTGATAACCCAGTTGCAGGCTGAACTCTTTGGACTTTTTGTGAAACCAGTGTTACCGTTAAAGATTTTTAAAATGAGAAACAGCATGTACAGAATAATTTAAACAAATATTTTAGTGCATGGACATGGGGAGGGGAAGACTGTCCAAAGGATAAATAAAATACAGTCCTCCTTTTCTCTTATGAGCCAGTAGCCCTGCAAATTATGGATTGGACCAGCAAGAAGATAAGACACAGGGAAACTGGTTAAGAGACAGTTGTGGTAGTTGAGATACTAGGTACAGGTCTGACCTTTGGCATTGGCCTTGTAAATGAAAAGAAAGGAATGAATTCCAGACATATTTTCATCCCCAAATGAATAGGAATAAATGTCAGATTGCCTATGGTATGGAGTTGTTGAAGGTCTAGAAGGCAACTGGAGATTTTATCTGGAGTGACTTGCAAGGACAGAGAAGCTCCTTGGGCCTGTCAGTATTTGATACCAAGAAATTTAGAGCTATTGCATTCTCTTCCTCTCCCCCTCCCTTTCTTCTCTTTCCTTCCCCCTCCCCCTCTCTCCCTCTCCCCTTTTCTCCCCTTTCTCCTCCTTTCCCCCTCTCTCCCCCACACCAGCTGTCTTTTCCTCTCTCTCTTCCTCTCCCTCTCTTCCCCCCTCTTCTGGAGGTGTGTTCACTCCTCTCTCCTAGCAGAAAGGGACAGGATACCTAATGCAACAAGCTACCAAAATTGCAGCTTTGCAGTCTAGCTTATAAACATCCAAATGAGAGTGAACACCACTGCTTCCTGAGCCAGAGTGAGTAGAGATGGCCTGGACATGTGAATCTGATGACACAGATTTATTTGAGCTAGTGGAATGTCCCAATTATGTGAAATACGTAAAAATTTCATTGGTGGGAAGCTTGTTTTCACATATTTTTACAAAATTTGAAACTTCCAGTTTTCTTGTTTCTCTCCTTTGATTACACCAGGTTACTGCCTTCTTTCTAGCATGAAGCAGTCCTATAGGCCTCCTCCTCTGGACCCATATGGAGCTGGGGTTTATTCCATTATTATGCCTCTAAAATATGGGAAGCTAGGTCTCCCATTCATCTTGCCAGTGCCAACTGTTATTAAGCCAACCTCTCTGGGTGTTTTGTTTTTCTGTATTTGTACTTTTCGTTCTGTTTTAGAGGTCTGTTCATCTTATGTTATATTTTTTACACACTCCTAGTTGTTTTATAACATTGTTACATTGTGGAAAGATGTTATAACATTTATAACATTGTTACATTGTGTTACATCTAGCTTTCTATTTAATTTTACTCTTCACACAAATAACAGAAAACCCAACTCAAACTGACTTAAACATAAAAGGGATTTCTTGATTCAGGTAACTAGAAGGTAGAGGTTAGGGTGGGCTTCTGGTTTGGGTCCTGAGATTCAGTTATTAGAAAGGACACATTTAATTATTATTTAAATAATTAATTTAAAAAAAATCTTCTCCCTTCTGTAGACTCTATTCTTAACCTGAATACCTCTATGATAGGGTAGTTGCCTGAATCAAAAAATGGATACAGTACTTGCCTCTTTGTTCACATGCATGGGGAAAATAGTTCTGTCCCAGTGTTTCAAACAAAAGACCTAGGATTCACAGTAATGGCACTACTTAGATCACATGATTTCTTTAACAATGGCTTTAGCCAGGGGAATGGAATATGGAAATTGGCCTAAGCCAACCTGGCCCACCCTTTGAATTTAGAGAGTGCTCACCATCTCCTGCAGTAAAATGGTGCACTTGTGGTAGGGGTCAAAGATACTTTAAAAATCTGGTTTTTAGGAAATTTTATTGATAGATATAAAATGGCAAGGTAGAGGCTTGGTAGGCAATTAACAGTTCCTGCTGAAGTGGGGTAGGTATATTAAGTTTGGCTTGTAACGTGTTGGGTTGAGATGCTTGTACTCTATGAAATGTCCAGAAAATGATTATATATTCAGGTTTTTAAACTAGAGAATATGGATTTAGTGATAAAATGTACACAGATTATTGTGTCAGCTGTGAGATTTGATGGGACTGGGAGATATCATAGTCACCCCAGAAGAATACATATATTTGTGAGAGAGCATAGGTAAGAAAGGGTATGGACAAAAGCAAGGGAATAGATAGAAAACAGCAAATCCATAAGAGATCATCAATGCATGGATCATATACAGGCCACAGTGTCAAATGGACAGCCACTCTTCCAAGTATATTATGACTTTC